AAGTCCACTAGTGGCTATGTATTTTTCTATGGGGGTGGAACAGTGAGCTGGGGAAGTCACAAGCAAAGTACAATAGCACAGGACTCTCCAGAAGCAGAGTATGTGGCAGCAACAGACGCATGTAATGAGACTGTGTGGCTTAGATTATTGCTTGAAGACATGGGTATAGACAAACCAACCCCTATACAAATCTTTGAAGACAATCAGAGTTGCATCATACTTTCACAGTCAGAGAAAGTAAGTGGCAGAACTAAGCACATTGATGTAAAGTGTCATGTGGTGAGAGAGTTGCAACAAGGGTTAATCAAATTAGACTACTGTCCCACAGGAAACATGACAGCGGACATCTTCAGGAAGCCGTTGTTGAGAACCAGTTATCAAGAACTAAGAGAAAAACTAAAGACTGTGGGACACAGAGACATGCAAGTTTGAAAAGAAGTGGTGTTGGAAAATATGGGGTTTCAGCCAAGCCTGTCTCACACGAGCACAAAGTGAGGGGTGGCTTCACTGCGGCCTAGCTTTGCTGCTTTGTGTGGGAGGGGCTTGGATCAGGCCTTTTTTCCAGTTTCCCTGATTTTCTTTCTCTTCTCCTCATGGCTCTCCATGAGGTAGGAACAAATCCTCTCTCCTCTTCATGGGTTTTGTATTAACATTTAACAACCCCCAACAATTTGGGGTATTTATTGCCTGTTGAAAATGCTAACATTCTTCCTTTCTATTTCTGAACCATTTAGGGTAGCTTGGAACATGATATTTACACTTATCATTTAGCAAGGGAATGTAACAATTAATTTAACAAAGACTATGTGTAAATAAAATTCACAAAAGGTCAAGGAGACATGCAAACTGGTTTGTCAATGTTTTTATTCTAAATATTTATATAGGCAACAAGAAAAAAAATTCAGGAACAGAAATATAGAATTTAGGGGGATCAATTACAATATTGAATTAGATTATAAACAGATGTTTGGATTGATTATAATTTTAAATATTTTCTATTTTTAAAAATATAATTCTAAACTGTCTAAATGTATGTCCACAATAAACTATTTTAATTTAAATTATTTTGGATGGGTCATGTTCCTTTATGTATCTATTCATGCATTATTCTAGTTAACAGGTAACAATATACCTGTTGCCCTTTGGTTGGCTTCATGTGTGTGCTAAACCATGATTTTATTTTTATGTTTTTCTGAACAAGACACAATTTGCAGGATTCACATAACGTATCAAGCCACAAACAAATATTATTCTATAGCCATAATCCTTGGTTTAAACAGACTCAAAATGGAAGCCAGATATTTTAAAGTTTTAAATTAAAATCATACTAAAATATCAGCTTTTATCCTGCCTGCTAGTTCTTTGCTGAATCAAAATGTCCCAATAAATCCTATTTATGAGATTTCAGCAAGTATGCATAATCTACAGACCAAACCTCATTGTTGCTTATTTAACAAATCATTGTTAAATAAGCCATTACTTAGATGGTTTGCATTTTGCAGTAAACCATAGATTGATAAAATATGGTTTAGTAAATAAATCTCCACTAATTTGCATAATATCCAGACCTGTAAACCATGGCTTACAAATCGTAATAGCTTGAGACACAATTAAGCCAAAATTAAAATTATCACAGAGTTTAGCAAGTCTTTAGTGCATGTGGTTTTAAAAGAAAAGAAAAGCTTCAGTCTGAGATAACATGGTGATTTTATTTTCTTTATTCAATACATTAAATAAACTCAAATCTTTATTAACAAAAATTCTACACCCAACTATTTAGCAAATAAATATAACTAGTTATCAATTTCATGTCAGTGTCACCCAATTCAAATTGGTGAAAGCTAAAAGTGAAACTGACATTGCCACATCTTTTTCAAGTATCTTCAAGCAGTTTCCATTTGCTTTTTCATCTAATTTTCTGTTTAAGTTTTACCAGAAATATTTTAAATGACTGATACCAGTTAAAAATTACCTTAACACCACCTTTCTCCTGCTAGAAGTAGCTAGGGACTCCAGCCTTAATACTTTTGAAGGAGCCAGAAAAGTACAATGTAATACAAAACATTTCTGAAATAACCAATCACTTATTAAATGAGAATATCCACTTGGCTATACCAATATCAAACAAGTATTTTTGTTCAGCCTTTATTTTAAATGCAACCATTCCACTCTCAAGATGATCATGATATCTTTTTCTGGTGATAGCTTACTTAACTCCTGCCATATTTGGGTAATAAACTCAGCTAGAAAGTTATCTGAGAAGATCATGCTGTTTAGTTTTATTTTTATCAGTCACCATGATCTCCCAAAAAGTTGTGACTAAAATTACTTCAATTTCTATAACTAGCTAACCAGAAGAGGAAGACTGTAAATAACTATCTTACATTACATATCTTACATTACAAAGACATCTGTACATGTAAACATAGAATGAGGACCGCAGTGAATGCAGCAATGTAAAATAATGTTAAAATTGTACAAATAATGATGTATTATGATCAATAATCATTTATCAGGATTTTATTCATCCTTATTTGGACTCCAATCTTCTAAACTAGTTTAGTTTATTTTTGTTGTTATATTTTAATTTCTGAAGCTCTTGCTGCATTTGGAAAATAGGTTTAAAAATCACATCTTATTACTGAATAATCATTGAACTAGTTAACCCAGATTTTGATACCATATTCCATAACTTTTGACAGCATCTATGATGCATTTTAAATTCTGGGGGGGGGGAATGCCCTGAAATTACGTATCAAAAAAGTGTAATTCTATTATACAGCATACTGAATTCATGCACTGAATCCAGTCTAACTGGCTGGGCTTGCATAATACCACTAAGCCGTAAAACATTGTTTATAAACCACCATGGCAGAATTCAAAAACATACTAAACCAAAAGGAGACTTGCATCAGCATCAGCACGAGAAGGAGGGAGACTGAAGTAGGAGCAAGACAAATAACACTGTTACGAGAAACCTGGCAAGAGAGCTCTCTCAGCAGTATGCAGATGTGTCAGCCGGTCAGGGTAGACCAGACTAGGAAACCAAAGTCATGCATGCTAATATACTTTTATTACAAGGTTACAGAAACAGAATCTTGCAAGTCTGGGTGTGCTCCCCCCACCCCGCCTCCCTTTATCTTTGTGAGAACTAGGGAGGGTCTTGTCTGAGGTATTTACTTGGGTTACACATTTCTGCCCTGGACTAAGCCCTCTTTTATTTGACCATTGTACGGGTTGTGGCTCTTCCCTTTCCACAAGGTTATTCCTTATGTCCATTACAAAATGTGTGAAAAAGATTTATCACAGGATTGTATTACAAAGTTCATCAAGACCAAGAAAATGTCAGCAAAAACTGTTTATTGGATTGATTACTTATTAAGGGAGAGAAGGATGCAGTCCCCCCAGCATAAAACATTCAGAGGCTCATTGTTTTTCCCAGATAGCCTATGTTTCCAATTGGTCAGCTATTCGGAAATTCAGACATTCCAATGTTTTCCTCCTGGTTATTTGTTTCTGAAGATTTTCTGCACTATTTTGGACACAAGACATATTCTTCCTGGTATCCCTTTGTCTGGGTCAGCAACAGATGGGCAGATGCACACAAACAGTTGGTCTGAAATGAAACAGGATCAAGGCAGACAGAGAAGGTGGTGAAAGCCATGGTTGGTGGAATGAAATTTAAAGCAAAAGATGGAAAGTGAAAACTAGATTTAAAAAGTGAAGACAGCAGGGATTTATCAACACCTGAACTGGTATGGTGTGAAAGATGATGATTGAGCACCAACTGGAATGGAGGTTCATGTACTGGGTGGAAGAGCAGCTGGTGGAGGGAAAGCAAAAGGTTGTTGAGCTCACCTCCATTTTAGCAGCATCAGGTTAGGAGATTGAACCGTCACCTGGGTTGGGAAGGCTGAGCTGCCATCCATAAGCATCTGGTGTAAATGAGAATGGTCAGAGGGGCTGGAAGGCACGAGCAGCTGCCAGAAGTCCTGCGGGAAGTCTGGGCACCTTTAGAAGGCAGGATTACTGACTGGACTATCAACAAGAACCTTTATACTGTACTCATCACAGAGCAAGCACCAAGCAGTTACAGGTGAGAGACAAACTCAAGAATGCACACCCCCAGAGTGAGCTTCCCCAAGTAGGTGGGGAATCCTGCCCTCATCAGCCCTAGTGAAAGTGGGAATGGGGGAGGATGCAATAGGGATATATCCTTAAGGAAAGGAATGGGAAAGGGTAGGTGGATAAATGAAAGTGAGGATGTATAGTTGAAGTGGGAGACTTAACAGGTGTGAGTGACTGGTAGCCAATGAAGCAGCTTGCCTAGAAAACTGATGTGTGGGACAGTAGATGAGAGGGAAGTTGGTAGATGATGGGGACTGGGCTCAGAGATAGCTGTCTTGGCTTGAGAGATAAGGGATAGAATCTAAGAGAGAGTTATGGAAGAACAGTGGATTTATTTCAGTGGTGATGAAGAAAATATGATGGGAGGCACTGGGCAACCCAGAGCAAGTGCAGCCTGCAGTTTGGTGCTGGTTGCCGTTTCTAGCACAGTGTCCTCACACTGGGGGTCAGGTGAGCAGATTGCTGGAAGCCCTGGCTTCAGGCTGCTGGTGATAAATTCCAGCTCTGTGTAATAAGACCACATTTGGTCATTATTTAGTCATGGATGAATAGGCAGAACTAGTGTGTGTTTCTGAAACCTGGTAGGGTGGCAATGTAATACTCACTGAAGTCTGTTCTCCCAAGTTTTCTGAGCTGTATCAGCCACATGCCAAGGTGAGGAGTAGCAATGGTCCTCTGAGAAAGTTTGTAGCAACTAAGGGTGTTGCTTCTGAGGGCCCTTATGTGATATAAGAAAGAATGGAGAATTCTCCTTGTGTACTTCCCACCTTGCTGCATAGCAAAATCACTTCCTGGACTCCTGCACTTTGTTACCAGGCTGATGTTGGACTGTCCCCAGCTTTTAGTGCTGGGGGAATTCAATTTCCATGCCCCGAGATGGGGTTCAGGGACAGTTCAAGAATTAATGGCCCCCACTAGCAATTATGGGTTTGTCTCAAGTAATCTCAGATCTGATGTATGTACGTGGTCACACACTAGACCTGGTCTTCACCTCTGTGCACTGCTTGATTATCAGAAATATGGAGAATGTGATGGTTAGTCTTTTGCCATGATCAGATCATTCCCTGGTTCATCTGAGGCTAGTTGCCACATGAACCTCCACAGAGCAGGGGGATTCATTAAGTTGATTCTGTCCCACATGCCTCATGGATCAGGATGGATTTAAAAGGGCACTTGAGGAGTTCTCTAGGAATCAGGAAGGCAGTTCCTTGGAGTGCCTGGTTCAACTCTAGAATATAGTGGTGATCACAGCATTTCACAAAATTATCCAGTGGCCTCTCTGTATATGCCACAGAAGCAGCAAAAGTTTACACCATGGTGGTCAGGGTAGTGAACTGTGCCACAGCAGCCTTGTTTAGGGTTACCCAATACTTTTTTGAAGTGAGAGTAAAGAAGGTTGCCCCACAGGATGAATAAGCTTTGAGGGCCACGTTTTGCTGGAAAAAAAATAATTCAAATTTACCCAAGTCTAGACTCCATGGGCTCTATGTTGATGACAGAGGTAAAGTCTTGTGATGCTCTGTGGGATTAATTCCATCCTTTGGATTCTGAGGAAGTAGATAGGGTGCTGCATAAGCTCTGCCACCTTGGAGCTGAACCCTGACCTGGCCTGGCCCCTTCAGCAGATGGAAGCATAAGTGCTGAATCTGGGAAGTTGTCAATGCTTCACTAATGCCATTTGCCTTCAAAGAGGAAGTGATGCCCTCCATCTTGAAAAATCCCTCCGATCCAGCTGTATTGGACAACTATTATCCAATGTCCAATCTTCCCTTTTGGAAAAAAGGCTGTAGAGATAGTGATAGCACTCTAGTTACAAGGGGCCTAGAAGGACCAGAACCCTTTCCAGTTAGGGTTCAGGCTGGGCATGGGACAGAACAGGATTAGTCACACTGGTGGACAACCTGTATCCTTCCAGAATGTGGCAATATAAAAAATATTTTGAAAAAGAAGGAAAATAAATAAGTAAAACTACATTATAATTTACTGCAGTGTATGAAACCAGTAAAAAAACTGTAAATATTTTGTTTCATTTATTTATAAAATTTATACCTTCCTTTTTTACTGGTAAACAGCCCTCTCTTAAGTCTATATTTAACTTTTGACTTTCTTGGAACAACAAAAATCAAGCACTAGTTTCTAATATTTTAAAAATTAATTTAAAAAAAAATAAAAAAGAAATACACATCCATCTTGTGAAGCTCATAGGTTCATATATAGATTCCTTATCATGGGAAGTAATAGTTCCATTTTATTCTGCTTTGGTCAGACTCTTCTTTAGCTTATATTTATTTTATAATAGTTTTGTTTATTGGCTTTATGAACGGATTTTATGATTTGACTAATGTTTTGTCTCATAGGTGTAAACTGCCTAGAATTGGAAAATTAAGCAACATATTTGGATTGATAAATAAATAAATAAATAATAAACAAGCTGTGTCCACTTCCAAATACCACACTTTAAGAAGAATTTAGAGGAACCGAAACAGGTGCAGAGAAAGCCAATGAAGATGATCAAGAGCTTAAAAGCTAAATCCTATGAAAAGAGATTGAACATATTGGAAATGCTTAGCCTTGAAAGATGTCATAAAGAAGAAAAGTTTCTATTTTCTATCATTCTAAAATGCAAGACACAAAACAATGGTTTTAATGATAGGAAGGCAAGTTCCAATGGGCTCTCCTTTACTGAAAGTAGTCAGGTGAAGAATAGATAGCCATCTGTAGGGGAGCCTTTGATCTGGATACCTCCATAGAGCTCACTGGCTTTTTCCAACACTATGTTTCTAAAAATGGCAGAGATTACTAGTTTCGATGGCTCTTAATATCAAAGTGCCTTAGTATATCTTTATTAGCAGCTAACATAGCTGTGCCAAAATGAGGTCATATTTCCTATTGTCTGTCCTGATTCTTTCAGGATTCAATTTCATTGGGCGACCTCTGGTTCTAATATTTTGGGAAGGGGAAAATAGCTTCTCTTTGTCCAGTTTATCCAACCATGCATAATTTCGTGAACCTCAATCATGTTCCCTCTCATTCACCTCTTTTCTAGACTAAAAAGCCCCAAATGTCACTACCTTTCCTCATAGGGAAGCTGCTCCAGCCCCATTGATTATCTTAATTGCCCTCCTCTGACACTTCTGTAGCTCTATTACTGTATATCCTTTTTGAGGTGCAGCAACCAGAACTGCACACAATATTCCAGATGTGATCGCACCTTTTATAAATGTGTATATATATATATGTATGTAAATGTGTGTGTGTGTGTGTGTAGCATTATCATATTGGCATCTCTATTTTCAGTACCATTCCTTATTATCCCGAACATGCGGTAGGCCCTTTTTACAGCAAATGCACACCATGTCAACAACTTCATTGAACTGTTTACCATTACTCCAAGATTTTTTTCCTCATCAGCCACTGTTAGCTCTTATCTCATTAGTTTGTATGAACCTTGAGGGATCCCGCTAGTTACATCCCTCCATTGTGAGAAATGTACATTTACTCCCACTCTTTGTTTCCTATTCCTTAGCTAGTTGCTTATCTTCAAGGGGACTTGCCCTTTTATTCCAGGCTGATAAGCTTACTGAGAAGTCTTTGGTGAAGGACTTTATCAAAGGCTTTTTGAAAATCTAGGTACATGAGATCTACTGGCTCACTCTTATCTACATTTATTAACACCCTCCAAAAAATTCTAGATTAGTTAGACAGTACCTTAGACAATCAAGAAATGGAGAGCAAGTCAGTCAGTCAATTATCTTATAAATGGCAACTTAGCTCAGGTGGCAAGTAACCTGTGAAGAAGTATTTCAAACTATTCACTGAAATTCCACCTTAATTAACTCACTATAAATGAGGGTAGGAAATTCCTCTTACAGTTTCCAAGATTCTGTATTTACCTCAGACTAGCATTAGATGCCTTACTGAAATCTCTGTAGTTTTCTATCTTGCTTTCTTGATTTTGCCCAGCTGCCTAGGACATGAAAGATAAAAAAGAAACCCAAAATCTATGAAAATATGAAAAGCAACAGAAATGTTGAGCCATATGATTTGAATAATCAAGGGTAAAGACAGTTCCAATCCCTTATCTAATAAACCTAGGAAGATTTACCTGTTTCATATAATGAAAGCTCGAACATCATAATATAGAGGAATGAAAAGTATTCATGTATTGTTCTATTTGTAGACCAGAATCTTTATTACTGATTTTAAAAATCAATGATTTCAAAATCTTCACTTCAGTTTTAGGCACTATATTATAATGAATATTAATCACATTTAATCCATTCTGATCTGTCAAATACAATACTAGTTGAACTGAAGAGAAGGATGTCTTCCCTACGCCTATTACAGAAAACAGTGAAATTGATGTGTGAGTATAGTCTGCCCTACATGTCTCATTTATACCAGCAGAAAACTTTGGGGCATTATTCTAAACACCAGTAAAGTTTAATTGACTGAAGAAATGAAACATAGTATTCTGGCTTGGGGATGGTGCAATCTTTGAAATTAGGACCAAAGCTTTCTCTGGTGGAGAGCTCCTAGAAGTGGCACCCTTTTACACTAGCATGGATCTGATTAACTTAATTCCACCCACCCTTCAAAAGAATCCCATAGTGTGGGGAGAGGGAAGAAAAAAAATGACACTTAGAAGCCAACTCTGTTTAACTAGACTAAATATGGTTAACAGGAATCATAATACATTATTAAAATTCAGCATGGTGTGAGTTTTTCTATTACTCTTACAATACTGGACTTCAGGGTCATCCATTGGATGTCCATTGGAGTTAGGCAGCTTATAAATTCAAATTAAAAAAAAATCCAGTGAAACTAAATGTAAGAAGTTTAAGGATCAGTAAGAGGAAGTACCTTCTTTGCCCAATATAAAGTATGGAATTTACTGCCGTTTTTAATATTGGATGGTTCTGAATTCCTTATGTCATCTCAGCCTAAAACAGAAAGCTAACTTTAAAGTTATCCCTTTCTTATGATCTCCAGTGGTGGGAAGCTTGAGTAGAGTTTACCAGACCTGGGTTGCAAAAATCTGGGGGACTACTAGGTGGCAGCAAAGCTCTATGGTCTTCTGAATTTTTGCAGTCCAATATACTCTAAAAAAGAGATAAATACTCTGCAAAACCAAGGATGTGATCTTCCTTCCCTGCTACCCTAACACTAATCTATAACCTACTCATTGTACCCAGGCTATGTGTGAAACAGGAACAGAAAGTCTCCCTCCCACCCTATCCATGGTTGCTCAGATTCACCATAGTTCACCATAACATTTTTATCTAAAAAAAAAAAGGGAAGTCATAGCCTATACATAGGATAAAAGTAGCTCAGGCAACTATCAAAGATGGCTGTTGTCCAGGATAGACTTTTTTTTTTAATTATTAACACTAGATCTCCAGGTAAATAACTTATCTGTGATTTGAATCAGTCTTGCTGTGTAAATATGCCCACTGTGGCATACATTGTTTGGCCTAATAAGCTTTGGCCTGATCCAGCAGGATTCCTTCTGCAAGCTTATTATAAATTGTGTGTGGTTTATCACAGGAGTTATTACTTACAGCCCTCTGATTTGTTAGACAAGAACTTCCATCATCCCTGATTATTAGAGATACCAGCTCACACTAATGTGAGTTTGGAGAGAACTATTTTACAGCATTAGCAATGATGAAGTTTGTTTTCTTCTACGTAAAAGCTGATTGGTAAAGGTATTTTCACCATTATATTTACTGAACTCTCAAGATTAAGTACTATGTTTCAAGAACCTACTAAAAATATGTACTGCCTAATGAACAAGTATCGACTAAACATCTCTTAATAACTTTGGAATTCAGACATATGTCATTTTTTAAATGCATAAACTGGTGAACATTTTGGACGTTCTTCATTTAATTTAAAGCAGCCATCTCATCCCACTCAACTGTTGCAATAGGGCTCCTAATTTAAATCCCATATTGCTAGCACAGTATGTCCTATCACTGTTAAAAAGTTATATACTCGTATCACTACATATCAGTGGATTAGGAGTCAGTGTACAAAGAACAGCAAAAGCCTAAAATCCGTTTCTGTTAATCATCTAGAAAAGAACGTTGAGAAATTTACAATAAAATACAGGAATTAATTCATTTAGATTTCTTGAAAGAACAAACTCAAAAGGACATTCTCAAATCTTCTTTTCTGTATGGAGAAGTATCACACGTCATTGGGTTGTTTCCAGAGGAACCTGTGTAAGACTGCTTACAATCTTTTACAGCGTAATCCTGCCCATGATTACTTACAAGGGAGTCTGCCGTTTTCAGTTGAGCCGGTTCTCCTATAAATGCGTCAGTCGGCTTCGTTTTTAAGGTTCTACAATAATCTTTGTTATTTAATTCTCTTAGAATACGACTCCGTTTGTGTTTGATCAAAAGTAAATACAGTTTTTAGCAGAGCTTCCTACTGGGTTAAGGAGCATAGGACAAAAACCCTTCATTAGCCGACATTCCTACTTAAAAAGATAAAACGAAACACAGCATTCAGATGGGCGTAACCATCACCTAGATCGCGCATGTGTGTTGCGTCAGGTAGGTTTAACTTCCTTTTCACTGCATGCTGGGAAATGTGGTTCCTTGCCTAGTAGATTTTTGGGGCAGAGACCGCAGTCTTGGTTTCTTTCTCGTTGGAGTCTTCGCATTCCCCATTTGGAATCTCGTGTTGCGGCTCCAGGGGAGGCACAAGCACAGAAAAATCCTCCACGTCTTCTCCTGTTCTGCTGCTAGGTAACCGAGACACAGGCGAAGCGGAGTAAGAGCTGTTGGAATAAGGCAGCCCGCGCGCCCCGTCTGAAAAATAAATGGCGCCTTAAGAAGCAACGGTACTGGCTCAAGTGACAGTTGGCGCGCCCCGCCCTGTGGCAGGGGTGGAGTCAGTAGCGAGAGGAAATCAAAGAAAGCGGACCCCAGACATGTAATCTTCTCCTGTTTCCTGCCAGAAAGAGTTGGCTGAGGTCACGTGGAAAGGGCCGGCTGGGAAGCCACATGATCTGAGTGGCCCGGAGATTGGGAGTCGTCGCAATGGGTACCACGCTGGACATCAAGATCAAACGAGCTAATAAGGTGTATCATTGCGGGGTGAGCATTCTCTGCAGATGCTGCTGTACGCGTCCTGTCCTGGTGATGTGGAGACGCAGGAGTGTTAGGGATGTTTTTATTTGGGCGGAAAGGAGCGCTACAATCTTGTTCCAATCTTTCTTGGAATTAACTCGTTGCGTTTCCGAGGACTTCGGCGCATAAGAGCTTAGGATCGCTTTCCAGCTCTCAGTTTTTCCAGCCGGGTGTTTCTGGAGGTAGCGTCCTTAGGATTGCAGGTTTCCGGAGCCGTGGGACCCGGGCGTCAGCTATGGAGCAGCGGATGAGGTCGCTCTCGGTGGGATGATTCTGGAATCCTACTCCTGGGAGAGGGAGAGGAATTAAAAATCCCTGCCCGTACAAAAGGGACATGTTCATGAGGGAAAGAAAGAAACATTCCTGACATCTTGTGTGCAAGATTTTTTCTGGACGTGCAGTTTCGTATGTAACCTCCTAGCTCCATTCCAAAGGAGACAAATACAACACCGCTTTGTCACCTGAATTGCTGTTTCGTAAGAATTAGGAATTAGGATTACTACAGTTTTACTGCAGTATTCTGGTGTAGTTACTAAGTAGAGGACACCCTAACATTTAGTGGACTCTCTTTTTTTCCCCAGAGTCAGTCATGGATTGAATTTTATGAGAAGTTGTGACTGCAGCAGTGGCTTTGAAAGACATGACAACAACTTCTGTGTTCAGAGAAAAAAAGCATGTACTGTACTAGGAGTACTGGAGCTTAAGGTGTTGTTCCTGATGATAATGGGTTTTTCAAGATTTTAGAAGATATCTGCATTTGCAGCAAAGTTTAACATGGGCAAGGAAGGGATAAATTTAGTTAATGGAGTATACGTGGCAGGGTGCAAGAACTATTTAAAATGCGACAGGTGGAAATCTTAAGAATTTACTTACTATAGTACAAAGAAGGATTTGGGTGATGTTGGGCTACAACTGCTGTTTTCCCCAGCCACTCTGTGGTGACTGGAGCAGTTGGACACATGTGTTCCTGTGTGTTCTCTCCCAGAATGTAGAGTTTAATTAGTCTCTGTTTTTTTAAAGTTCCTGGGAGTGATAAAGGGGGCTGTGAGATGAGAGGAATAAAATAAGATATTTAAAATGCAAGGAAGAGCATGCTATGCTGTCCTTTCCACACACACACACAAAAAACAGTGCTCTTTTTAGCATAATTCTATGGTGTCATCTAGTAGATCTTTGCTAAGCATCCTGGACCTATTTTATCTAAATATGCAGCTTGATATTAAGAAACTCAAGTAGTTAGTTATGATATGTTTGCCTGGTCTTTCCTTGCTGAGATCAACATGTCAAAAACTTGTTGCACTGTTGAGATACCTGTCAGTGTATCTATAATTTCTTCTTCTTCCATGCTGCAGCTGAAACAGGTTCTTCCATTCTGCAATATAGCAGGACTGGCTGTGGTACAAAGGCTCTTTTTTTCTCCTTTGCAGTCTTAGAACCGAATTGGAGCCCATTGCCTAGAGCAGTGTTTCTCAACCTTGGCAACTTTAAGATGTGTGGACTTCAACACTCAGAATTCCCCAGGAAACACATCTTAAAGTTGCCAAGGTTGAGAAACACTGGCATAGACTCTTAGTACG